GTTTCCACCCGGCTGTTTACCTCCCGCAAGTCTTGTACCGGTCTGAAGTCTGAGGTGCCAGGCTTTCTCACAGGAAGCAGGGGTGTATTCCAGGCTGACTGGCAAGGGACCAAGATGCCAGCTTCCTGGAGTCGGTGGATGTGCTTGGATATCTCCATTTTGGCCTCCAGTCGGAGGGGGTACTGACGTACGTGGGCGGGGGTGGCAGAGGCCAGCAATTGAAACACCACAGGAGCATGGTGTTTTGCCAGACTGGGTGGATTTGTTTCAGCCCATACTCGGGGAAACTTTTTCTTTAGATAGTCCCATTTTTGTTCAGGAGGTTCTGAGCCCTCTTTTAACAATTTGAACTCATCTTCAAGAGGAACTGTTACCATAATGGCTGAGGGCGGGTTAAATTCAAAAGTCCCTCCCTCAGGCTCAAAGGAAATAACAGCTCCCAATTTTCGTAGCAGATCTCTTCCTAGCAGTGGGTATGGGCATTCTGGGATAACTAGAAAAGAATGAGTAACTGTGCCTTTTCCCAGATTTACAGTTCTTTTAGTGATCCAAGAATAGGAGGCCGATTTTCCTGTGGCCCCAGTGATGGAGGATTTTAGGGAAGATAGAGTGCCTAGGGGGGTCTTCAGGACAGAATGGGCCGCGCCAGTGTCCACAAGGAATTGGACATCTGTTCCCCCTATTTCCAAAGTTACCAGAGGTTCATTAGGGTCAAGCGGCCATGAGCCCTGGCCCCGTCAATTTTCTTCATCTACCAATAGAACTCCATCTCCCTCTTTTTTGGTTACCTTTTCTCTTCTTTTCTTCAACTTTTCACAATCTTTCTTGTAATGGCCCTTCTCCTTACAATAGGCACATTGATCCTTCTCTACTGAGGGCCACTCTCTACTTTTACTTTCCCTTTTGTTCTTTTCTTCCTTCTGGACAAAACCTCCATCCATCAAGGCAGCAATATTTGCCTTTTCTATCTTTTTGGCTACTCTATCCTCAAAAGGATCTCTGTTGTTAAATATCTTCATTGTCACACTCATCAACTTTTTCCTATTTTCTCCCTCAAACCCTTCCATTCGCTGTAATTTCTTTCTAACATCTGGGGCCGACTGAGTAACAAAAGCCAAATTAATTGCCTGTCGATTTGCAGGAGCATCTGGGTCAACTGGAGTATACGTACGGTATGCTTCCAACAGACGCTCCAAAAAGGCAGAAGGGGATTCCTCAGGCCCTTGAAGGACCTCGCTTACCTTGCTCAGGTTGGTAGGCTTCCGTGCAGCTCCCCTTAGGCTGGCTAAGAGATGCTGACGGTAGTTGTGAAGAGCTTCTCTCCCACCCGAGGAATTAGCTTGCCACCGGGGATGGATGGACGGGAGCTGTGCCTCAATACGGGCCCGTTGTTGTTCATCAAGTGGGCCCTCCTATCCTCCCAACACTGATTTTATGGCCTGTCCTCGAATTCTTTCTCTCTCTTCAGAGGTAAAGAGGGCTTGGAGAAGTTGCTGGCAATCATCCCAGGTTGGGTCATGGGTATTAAAAACAGATTCTAGGAGGGAGATCAAAGCTTGGGGTTTTTCTGAAAAAGGGGGATTTTGATGCTTCCAATTATACAAATCACTGGTAGAGAAAGGGATATAGACATAATGACCCTGTTCTACTTCCCTAAGAGGCAGAAGAGGAGCTGAATTAGTCCCTTCAGTGGGAGCCCTGCTGGGACCATAAGCAGCTCCTGTTCGCGTGTGGGAAGGGGAGGTTACAGAATCTGGAGATTTTTCTTCTTCAGGAAGAGGAGGATAGAAAGGGTTCCGAGATCTAGGGCGGACTTTGTCCGAGGAGGATGATGGCTCCACATAAGGTGGAGGTCTTATTTCAAGATCTAAGGGGTCAGGATCTTGCGAGAGCACCGGCTTGGGAGCTCGAGCTTATGTCTCTTGAGGTTTACTTGGGGTCATAACCAAGATGCGAGAGCTTGTTTGTAGGGAACAACGCTGCAACCAAGCCGGAGGCTCCTGACAAGCCTGAACCCAGATATTTATATATGGAAACTGATCAGGATGGCTAGGGTGTCCAGTGACCTTTTTCCATACCGCTCGACAGAGACTTA